TGACGCTGCAGACGGGGGCACGGGGCTCATCCTCCACTCTCCCCCAGGACAGCCGGAGCCTCCTGCCGGGAAAGAGACCACATTGCAGCGTTATTCTCTGCCCAGACCGCTGGGACAGTGACGTGCCCTAGAGAGCCTAACCGGCTCGTGAATAAGCAACAACATTTCCTGTCTAAGCAACACCAGCCTGCAGCAATGATATCGGGCACAGATGGTGTAAGATCTCCGCAGCCTTCCTGTCGTTTGGATCCTCCCCCCACCCCGGGGATGTCTAGAAAGTATTGGTCCTGCCATGCGGGCAGGGGACTGGACTCGATGACCTCTCGAGGTCCCTTCCAGTCCTAGAATCTATGAATCTATGTACAAACAGGAGACCACCACCTCCCTGCCACCAAGGAACTTACAAAGGTCAGGTCTGATCAGTGTTTGGCCAGGGCCCCCAAGGACAACCCAGGACGCTGGGCGGGGGGGAGGAGTTGGAGGGGGCTCAGCAGGGGGCATTCGCTCTTCAGAGTCAGTGCTGAGCCCAACATCACAGGACGGGGCTGGGGACGCTGTGCTGGAGGCCGACCCAACAGGGGGCGCTTGCTGGAGGGAGCCATGTGGCCGACCCAACAGGGGGCGCTTGCTGGAGGGAGCCGTGTGGTCGACCCAATAGGGGGCGCTGTGCTGCAGGGAGCGGCGTGGCTGACCCAACAGGGGGCGCTTGCTGGAGGGAGCCGTGTGGCCGACCCAAAAGGGGGCGCTTGCTGGAGGGAGCCGTGTGGCTGACCCAATAGGGGGCGCTGTGCTGGAGGGAGCGGCGTGGTCGACCCAACAGGGGGCGCTGTGCTGCAGGGAGCGGCGTGGTCGACCCAATGGGGGGCGCTTGCTGGAGCGAGCGGCGTGGTCGACCCAATAGGGGGCGCTGTGCTGCAGGGAGCGGCGTGGTCGACCCAATAGGGGGCGCTGTGCTGCAGGGAGCGGCGTGGTCGACCCAATAGGGGGCGCTTGCTGGAGGGAGCGGCGTGGTCGACCCAATAGGGGAGCGCTGTGCTGGAGGGAGCGGCGTGGTCGACCCAATAGGGAGCGCTGTGCTGGAGGGAGCGGCGTGGTCGACCCAATAGGGGGCGCTTGCTGGAGGGAGCGGCGTGGTCGACCCAATAGGGGGCGCTGTGCTGCAGGGAGCGCCAACCTTTTTTTAAACTCAGGCATAAAACCAAGTTACTCAGATGCCCACTCATGGCTGTGAAAGATCCCACGACACTCTGAGCAAGAGTCTAAGCTACTGCACACGGTGCCCCCTTCAACCAGAAGACAAAGCAGCAAAATGTACAAAAAAGGCCTTTAAACCCCCCAGATTTAAATGAATTGTTGATCTAAAAAGCCATGTACGTGAGAAAATGAATAAGTAGTTGTCCATAGCTATAAATAGCTAGAGATGTAATTCTTGATATTGCTTTGGTTTATTTAAAGAGCAACGTCTACAAAGATCACCTGTCCACAAGCCGGGCAGTTCCGACACAGGAAACAAAACCGAACAGCTCATGCTATCATCGCAAGAGATCGGCTCCACTTCACTCCCAGCTCCATGACCGTGGGCCAAGAGAGATTGGATTGAATTCCTGCCCATAGTCAGCGACTGGTAAATAAATAAATTGATCGTTGTGAACGTCCAACTGTCCAGAACCACAACGTCAAACCGGCACGAGAAAGGCCTCTTTGTTCTAAACCTCCATTTGAATCGTATGTCTCAACCACAGATCGTTCACTCTGGGCAGTAGCACTGAAAAGTCTCGATCGCCACCTAACCAACCAGCCTGGTTAGATTGTGAACGTCTCTCTGCTGTGTTATGAAAATCAACACGTTAAAAAGTGCTTGAGATTAGGAATCGGGTACTTTACTCAGAGATTGGCTGGCTAATACAGCCACCCGAGCTCCTGTTCTTGTCAACGATCTCCCCTTCTGTATGCGTTGTCTGCTAGTGCCAGAGGCGCTGGAACATCTTTAGTAGTGGGGGTGCTGAAAGCCAACCCCCTTCCCCTATCCCCTCCCCACACCCCCGAGGCTGGGAGCAGGGCTGTGTCTCCGGGATGGGAGGACCCAGACAGGGGTAAGGGGGGTGAGGCCACAGCTGGGGCTGGGAGTGGAGCCCTGGGAATAGGGCCCTCACTGAGCAGGGAGCCAGGCACAGGGCCCCAGGAGCAGAGGTCTGGGAGTGGAGGTCTAGAAGCGGAGTTGGGGCAGGCGCCAGGCCTCGGGCCCCAGGTGAGGTTGGGGAGTGGAGCACGGGTGGAGGGCAGGGAGCAGGGCATAGGCACTGGAAGCACCCCCAGGGTTTATGCACAG